TATATTTAGGGCCGGTTCTCTTATCTGATCCGAGATAATCTAATTAGCATAATCATGACAGCGTGCAGCAAAAAAATTTGTACAAAATTTCTAGTCGCTCCATATTTTAGAACGATTTTCGGGTTTTTTTGCTTAGATATTGATGAAAAAAATTTCTTACTACCATATCACCCAAAACAGAGAAGTTTCCCAGCTAAATGACGTTCTTTAAAATTTTAAAAAAAATTTTATGCAAAATATACTTTTTTAATTTTTTTTGTGGCAGATTATTATGGGTTTCCTACGACCGAAATATTTTTCTTTCGAAAGGGTATTCTTTTCCCTTTCCAATGAGGTATAGCTTGATATTGAACTGTAAATAACACCAGAGATATGATTTTTTAAAGTTACATGGCAAAGGACTTCTGTTTTCATACTACTTAAAAGCCAGCATGTTGGGTATCTCCAATTAGTATATACTAAAACAGTGGATAGTGTTTTTCGCGCGCTCTGATTGGCTACTCAATCAGTGAATATCCTGCACTATTCACTGATTCACCTCCAGTTCTTCCGAGCGAGAGACGCCAAACTCGCGTAAGTTGCAAAATGCCTTCCCGGTTTGCTGCCGTAACAAACAAAGAAATTTCACAACTAATCAAGCAAGCTGTTTCCGAAATACACGAAGAAAGTGACGAAGCTCGGGGTGGAAGTTTTCACAGGTAAAGCTTTGTCTTTTTGACTTGAATTTATCGATAAAACTGGCGGTTGACTTGTTCATAAATAAGCTTAAAACTAAATCTAATAATCCTTTTTACAGAATGATTTTAAATACAAAAAGAATTCACAACTCCTTTTGAGGAAATTTCCCCGCAAGAGCTAAACAAATGCCTTCAAAAGTTTTATTTGCCCGCAAAAAAAAAAGCGACGACAGCGGCCGTTCGGTCATTGCCCGCCAAAATTGTAATCGTTGTAGGCAACAGTAAATGAGTTAAAAATCATCATTTTTGGGCTCAATTATCTCACTGTTTTAGTATATACTAAAACAATTATTCACCTCAGTGTCGGTGGCTAGTGATGGTGGCTAGGGATGGATCCATCAGTAGCCACCTCCACTTCGCTGAATAATTGTTATTTATTTCGTACGTTACACTGAAAGGGGTAACAAATAATCAGTTCTTGGAATGGTCAAGAGTCGCCTTCTCTACAATAATAAAAAGTTTAGATGGTTATTTTTTGTTTCAGTTTTAGTTTTAAATTTTAGTTATTGCAAAAGCTTTTTAGCTTGCTATTTCAGTTTAGTCTTGTTCCTTAAAGTACAGTGAAACCTCTATTAAGTGGACCCCCAATTAAGCAGACACCCTCTATCAAGCGGACACTAAGCTGGGTCCCGAAACGAAAGTCTGATATTTAACAATTATTCGCCGAAGGCGAAGTTAATATTGTTGATTATTCAACAATATTGCAGAGCATGAGGTGAATAAAGGTTTCAGTATATTCAAACGAAGTGATCTCAACAGAATTAGAAAGGAAACCATTAAAAAACGATTAGTTTGATTGACGCGTGAATTCATGCGCGACACGAAGCCGTAAATACTAGATACGCAAAAGTTAGATCTTTACAGTATCTTCAAACATGGCAAATGATAGTTTGCGATGTATCGAGTTTTGTAAGCTTAAGCATCAAGGGTTTAAAAGAAAATGCCAAAAATTTAAATTACTAGCAAATTCTGAGAAGAAAAGTAGAGCTTTATTTGTTTCACCGTGAATGAGAAAGTTTTCTTTGTCGCTTCTTGCAAATGCTGTCAGCAGCGGTTTCGATCAAGGTGAGCGTTGTTTATCTCCAAAGTTCTTTGCCTTGTTAACTTGCTGCCACGTATAATTTTCGAAAATATTTGCCTTCCTCTTTTCTCCATAAATTAACTTCTATTTATAGGCAAAATTGGTCTTGCGAGAAAATCCCGAAACCACAAAACAGTGACAAAGCGACCTCGTTTTCCTCTCTAGTGGTAAACATAGCTTCGAGCGTACAAAACGTCAGCTATAGTAAACCACTTCACAATAAATCACGCTGTTTAAACACCACGAAGTCTTTTCTTGCCTTCAAAGTCATCAGCACTTGGATGTTCGTGTATTTTCAAAAAGGCTTTACTATGAAACTTTGGCAAAACACTCAATTCACGACAGCGATTTTGTTCTGCTTTATATTCACTGCCTAGCGCGGTAAATATAACGTCACAGTCCGAGATAGCTAGCCAATCAGATTCCTTGAATTACCAAGATCACTGAGTGTGTATATACTAATTCCCTTTATAACGAACCCCTATTTAACGGACACCTCTATTAAGCGGACGCGGACACTAAAATAAATTGTATTAAGCGGACACTACACTGAATTGATAATAGTAGTATTGGATTCCGTCCTTGAAATATACGTACTAAAATCAGTAAATGTTTTTGCATTTACAAACAAATCAAAGTTGGTAACGAAAGGTAATGAACTTGATCTCTAATAGCTTCTTTAACAACATGCAACTTTATCACACTACAGAGTAACCGTTTACAGCTGATCATTAATAAACATTGCGCAACTTTTACAACTTCTATTAAGCGGACACTTGGGAAGGTCCCGAAGGTGTCCTCTTAATAGAGGTTTCACTTTAGTCTGAATTAAAGTTTTCACTGTTCCTCTTCAGCACAAAATCCATGCACAAACTATGGCATTCTCGACGGTTTTAACCGCAGTGTGGCAAATAAAGATCAGAAGAACTTGAGCTGTGACCAGAATCACCTGAGTCCTTTGCCAGCCTGGTATCGCTTCACTGGCGGAGCTGGAGACAGAATGCCAACATCCTGTGTACCAAAAAATCGTTGTGGTACTCATGCTACGGGTTGGTTGAACGGTTCACACCCATCAGTGGAGGAAGGCATTGTCACTCGTCGAGTTTGTTATCACTGGAATTCCAACTGTTGCAACTGGAAAAACGATATTCAGATCCAAAACTGTGGCCCTTTCTATGTTTACCGGTTAGTTAAGACTCCCGTGTGTTGGTTGCGTTACTGCGGTAATAATGAAGGTGAGTTTTATGTTTTTCACCTTCTGACTGAATTGTAAAAGATCTTGATCAATAACCAATATCTACTCTGAAAACGAGCATTAACTTTATGTTCGTATTCCAAAAGTCTCCCTCTCAAAAAAGGAGGAACTTGTGAGGCTTGCTATTGGGGAAACAGTTAAGAAGACTGTCCGTGATAGTGGCGAGGTGTCGGTATTATGGAGATACCTCTAACGGAGCCTTATACATCACGCAGATTAAATTTTATTGGTAAAATGTTCTAACCATGTTAACTAAAATAGCAAAGAGTGATAATCGTGATTAGTTGATAAACAAAGACCTCAAAGGCCTCTGGCGAAAACACAATTTGCAAAGTCAAGGGTCCTAATAAACAAAGACTATCATTAATCGCAAAATGCTCTTACTATAGTTGTTTTGAAGTTTTGAGAAGCACTACAATAATAACACTTAATATTTGAACGCTTGTATGTATAATCTTTACAGGAACACCTGCACCACCAACAACGACACCAGGTATGAAAACGTGGAATTAGTCTGGCAGAAACAATATTACACTCCAGTATTATTATCATTAAGGACAAGAAAAGTTGTCTAACATATTTTGTAATGCTTTAAAACAACGAACTTCCAAGAAAGCTCTTTCTCTGGCCCGCTCAAGAGGCAATCAAGGGGCAAAAAAGTTCATTTCTTGAAAATGTCAAAAGTCATAGTCCCTCAGTGGACAGTCCCGAAATATAATTTTATACTACAAAGGCCGTTAAGACAAGATAGTCCTCGGTGGCAGCCAATTTGCACGCAGTATAACTTATCTTTGTTATCTCTCTGTTTAAAAGAAAGGCCAAAATGAAAACTGAATCAGGCCGGATTTTTCTTTGTACGCTACAATTTATTAAAAATCTGGTGCTGGTAGCGCGGAAACCAGCCTTTTTACACTACCTCCGAGGTAAACAGAACTATCAGGCGCTGTTTGTTTATCGTTCAGACCTCAGAGAAAATTACCTATAATTCTGCAGTTTTACAGAACCATCCGCTTACAAGACAAATTACACCCATTCAATATTCAGGACGATCTAAGCAGTCGGGCTTCCCTTCCACAACAAATTATAAAAATGGCAAGAACATTTAACATTACAAGTATAGAGAGAACTCACCATTAAACGGGACTGTTCACTAGTGCTGACTAGCTAGTGACTAGTTACTTGAAATTTTCAGACGCACTACTATAACACTTACTGTTTGGATATGACATGCTTGTATGTAAACTCTTTACAGGAACACCTGCACCACCAACAACGACATTACCTCCACCAACAACAACACCAGGTATGAAAACGTGCAATTAGTCTCGCAGAAACAGTACTGTCGCCACTCTAAGTTTTTAGAAGCACGAACATATTTTTGTAATGCATTTGAAGAACGAGTTTCCATCAAAGCTCTTTCTCTGGCTTTGCTCAAGGGGGAATCAAGGGAATCATTTAAGTCCATCAGGCTATTTTAGAAAATTTGCCGAATTAATCCCTTAATTATTGGAATTTATTGGCCTTGATTAAAGGGGCCTAATACGAAAACTCCCCACAAATAAAAAATAATAATAATAAAAAAAAATGGAAAACCTGTATTTTACTCACCGAAACGGCTCCACCAGCTTTTGGGCTAGTAGACCAGATCTTTTACATTTAGGGTAGGTTCGCACCTCTCTGATCCAAGAGAAGTTTTTTTTTGGTAGCTAATAGTACACTCCTTATTAAAAGCCATCACGTAGAAATTTGTATTTGATACGGAGAGTCTCCAAATAGTTCGGCACGCTGAAAGGAGCAAAAAAAAAAAATCATTTCTTAAGCTGCATTTCTTGAAAATGTCAAAAGTCGACATCCCTACACTGTTAATAAATTTAGTTCGTTAGTTTTTGTTTTTGTTTTCATTTTGAAATTTCAGTCACTGCATTATAACAGCTTTTTAACTTACTCTTCTTCTTTAGCAATAGATCCATGTAGAAACTATGGCATTCTCGACGGTTTTAACCGCAGTGTGGCAAATAAAGATCAAAAGAACTTGCAATGCGACCAGAGACACCTGAGTCCTTTACCAGCCTGGTATCGCTTCACTGGCGGAGCTGGAGACAGAATGCCAACATCCTGTGTACCAAAAAATCGTTGTGGTACTCATGCTACGGGTTGGTTGAACGGTTCACACCCATCAGTGGAGGAAGGCATTGTCACTCGTCGAGTTTGTTATCACTGGAATTCCAACTGTTGCAACTGGAAAAACGATATTCAGATCAAAAACTGTGGCCCTTTCTATGTGTACCGGTTAGTTAAGACTCCCGTGTGTTGGTTGCGTTACTGCGGTAATAATGAAGGTGAGTTTTATGTTTTTCACCTTCTGACTGAATTGTAAAAGATCTTGATCAATAACCAATATCTACTCTGAAAACGAGCATTAACTTTATGTTCGTATTCCAAAAGTCTCCCTCTCAAAAAAGGAGGAACTTGTGAGGCTTGCTATTTGGGGAAACAGTTAAGAAGACTGTCCGTGATAGTGGCGAGGTGTCGGTATTATGGAAATACCTCTAAGGGAGCCTTATACATCACGCAGATTAAATTTTATTGGTAAAATGTTCTAACGATGTTAGCTAAAATAGCAAAGAGCTATAATCATGATTAGTTGATAAACAAAGACCGCAAAGACCTCTGGCGAAAACACAATTTGCAAAAGTCAAGGGTCCTAATAAACAAAGACTATCATTAATCGCAAAAAAGCTCTTACTATAGTTGTTTTGAAGTTTTGAGAAGCACTGCAATAATAACACTAAATATTTGAACGCTCTTATGTATATTCTTTACAGGAAAACCTGCACCACCAACAACGACATTACCTCCACCACCAACAACACCAGGTATGAAAACATGGAATTATAGTCTGGCAGAACAATATTACATACACACCAGTAATTTTTAAGGAAATAAAAAGTTGTCCACTGTCACCACTATAAATTTGTAGAAGGACGAACGTATTTGTGTAATGCTTTAAAACAACGATTTTCCATGAAAGCTCTTTCTCTTGCCCTGGTCAAGGGGCACTCAAAGGGCAGGGGCCCCCAAGGACAATTTTTGGAAAATATCTGTTCGGTAGACGATTTGAGATCTAGAATTTTCAGAACATTTGTTGTAAAATTTCTTGCTTGCCTGCCTCTCCTAGGATTCTCGAACATCTAAAAAATGGTATAATTGCCCATTTTTAACGGATTTTTACCCAAAAAAGGTCACCTAGAATTTTCGGGAGCTTTTTTCTGGCTGAAATTTTTGAAAATGTAAGTTTTGATCCCTATAATTTCGGATCACTAGACTTTCAGCTAGGAAATCCGAACAGATCAAAAATTTTAGGGGACAAATATATGCCAATATCTGCCGTTTAAATACTAAAATACATTCAACAATGCTATGTTTAAGTGGTTTTGAACTATATTCTCGTTGGGTGCCTCTGAAAGGGCAAACAAAACCATTTCTTGAAAATGTTAAAAGTCGCCGTCTCTAAAATGTTAATAAATTTAGTTCGTTAGCTTTTGTTTTTGATTTCCTTTTAAATTAATTCTAGTCAATTTAACCGCTTTTAACTTGTAATTTTTTTCCTCTTTGTTTATATTAATTAAAGTGCCGGATCTGAATTAACACCTTTTACTCTTCCTCTTCAGCAATAGGTCCATGCAGAAACTATGGCATTCTCGACGGTTTTAACCGTAGTGTGGCAAATAAAGATCAAAAGAACTTGAAATGCGACCAGAATCACCTGAGTCCTTTGCCAGCCTGGTATCGCTTCACTGGTGCAGCTGGAGACAGAATGCCAACATCCTGTGTACCAAAAAAATCGTTGTGGTACTCATGCTACGGGTTGGTTGAACGGTTCACACCCATCAGTGGAGGAAGGCATTGTTACTCGTCGAGTTTGTTATCACTGGAATTCCAACTGTTGCAACTGGAAAAACGATATTCAGATCCAAAACTGTGGAGCTTTCTATGTTTACCGGTTAGTTAAGACTCCCGTGTGTTGGTTGCGTTACTGCGGTAACAATGAAGGTGAGTTTTATTTTTTCACCTTCTGACTGAATTGTAAAAGATCTTGATCAATAACCAATATCTACTTAAAACGGGCATTAACTTTATGTCCGTATTCCAAACGTCTCCCTATTAAAAAGGGAGAAACTTGAATTGTGAGGTTTGCTATTTTTGGAAAACAGTTAAGAAGGCTGTCCGTAATAACGAGGTGTCGGTATTATGGAGATACCTCTAACGGAGCCTTTATACATCACGCAGATTAAATTTTATTGGTAAAATTAAATTTCCTTGGTAAAATGTTTTAAATAAAAAAATAGCAAAGTGTGATAATCGTGATTAGTTGATAAACAAAGACCTTCAAAGGCCTCTGGCGAAAACACAATTTGCAAAGTCAAGGGTCCTAATAAACAAAGACTATCATTAATCGCAAAATGTTCTTACTATAGTTGTTTTGAAGTTTTGAGAAGCATTACAATAATAGCACTTAATATTTGAACGCTTGTATGTATATTCTTTACAGGAACACCTGCACCACCAACAACGACACCAGGTATGAAAACATGGAATTAGTCTGGCAGAAACAATATTGCACTCCAGTATTATTATTATTATTATTATTATTATTATTTATTATTATTATTATTATTATTTATTTATTATTATTTTTATATTATTATTATTTATTATTATTATAGGACAAGAAAAGTTGTCGCCACATATTTTGTAATGCTTTAAAATTTTCAACGAACTTTAAAAGAAGAACTTTCATCTGGCCCGCCTCAAAGAGGCAATCAAGAGGCAAAAAAATTATTTCTTGAAAATGTCAAAAGTCATAGTCCCTCAGTGGACAGTCCCGAAATATAATTTTATACTACAAAGGCCGTTAAGACAAGATAGTCCTCGGTGGCAGCCAATTTGCACGCAGTATAACTTATCTTTGTTATCTCTCTGTTTAAAAGAAAGGCCAAAATGAAAACTGAATCAGGCCGGATTTTTCTTTGTACGCTACAATTTTTTAAAAATCTGGTGCTGGTAGCGCGGAAACCAGCCTTTTTACACTACCTCCGAGGTAAACAGAACTATCAGGCGCTGTTTGTTTATCGTTCAGACCTCAGAGAAAATTACCTATAATTCTGCAGTTTTACAGAACCATCCGCTTACAAGACAAATTACACCCATTCAATATTCAGGACGATCGAAGCAGTCGGGCTTCCCTTCCACAACAAATTATAAAAATGGCAAGAACATTTAACATTACAAGTATAGAGAGAACTCACCATTAAACGGGACTGTTCACTAGTGCTGACTAGCTAGTGACTAGTTACTTGAAATTTTCAGACGCACTACTATAACACTTACTGTTTGGATATGACATGCTTGTATGTAAACTCTTTACAGGAACACCTGCACCACCAACAACGACATTACCTCCACCAACAACAACACCAGGTATGAAAACGTGCAATTAGTCTCGCAGAAACAGTACTGTCGCCACTCTAAGTTTTTAGAAGCACGAACATGTTTTTGTAATGCATTTGAAGAACGAGTTTCCATCAAAGCTCTTTCTCTGGCTTTGCTCAAGGGGAATCAAGGGAATCATTTAAGTCCATCAGGCTATTTTAGAAAATTTGCCGAATTAATCCCTTAATTATTGGAATTTATTGGCCTTGATTAAAGGGGCCTAATACGAAAACCCCACAAATAAAAAAAAAAAAAAAAAAAAAAAAAATGGAAAACCTGTATTTTACTCACCGAAACGGCTCCACCAGCTTTTGGGCTAGTAGACCAGATCTTTTACATTTAGGGTAGGTTCGCACCTCTCTGATCTGATCCAAGAGAAGTTTTTTTTTGGTAGCTAATAGTACAAAGGAGCTCCTTATTAAAAGCCATCACGTAGAAATTTGTATTTGATACGGAGAGTCTCCAAATAGTTCGGCACACTGAAAGGAGCAAAAAAAAAAATGGCGATCATTTCTTCAGCTGCATTTCTTGAAAATGTCAAATGTCGACATCCCTACACTGTTAATAAATTTAGTTCGTTAGTTTTTTTGTTTTTGTTTTCATTTTGAAATTTCAGTCACTGCATTATAACAGCTTTTTAACTTACTCTTCTTCTTTAGCAATAGATCCATGTAGAAACTATGGCATTCTCGACGGTTTTAACCGCAGTGTGGCAAATAAAGATCAAAAGAACTTGCAATGCGACCAGAGACACCTGAGTCCTTTACCAGCCTGGTATCGCTTCACTGGCGGAGCTGGAGACAGAATGCCAACATCCTGTGTACCAAAAAATCGTTGTGGTACTCATGCTACGGGTTGGTTGAACGGTTCACACCCATCAGTGGAGGAAGGCATTGTTACTCGTCGAGTTTGTTATCACTGGAATTCCAACTGTTGCAACTGGAAAAACGATATTCAGATCCAAAACTGTGGCCCTTTCTATGTTTACCGGTTAGTTAAGACTCCCGTGTGTTGGTTGCGTTACTGCGGTAACAATGAAGGTGAGTTTTATTTTTTTCACCTTCTGACTGAATTGTAAAAGATCTTGATCGATAACCAATATCTACTTAAAACGGGCATTAACTTTATGTTCGTATTACAAACGTCTCCCTATTAAAAAAGGGAGAAACTTGAATTGTGAGGTTTGCTATTTTTGGAAACAAGAAGGCGGTCCGTAATAACGAGGTGAGGGTACTATGGAGATACCTCTAAGGGAGCCTTCTACGGTATTGGAATTGCTACACAAGTCATATATCACGCAGTTTAAATTTCCTTGGTAAAATGTTTTAACCATGTTAACTAAATAGCAAAGTGTGATAATCATGATTAGTTGATAAACAAAGAGTTCAAAGGCCTCTGGCGAAAACACAATTTGCGAAGTCAAGATTCCTAATAAACAAAGACTATCATTAATCGCAAAATGCTCTTACTATAGTTGTTTAGAAGTTTTGAGAAGCATTACAATAATAACACTTAACATTTAAACGCTTGCGTGTATATTCTTTACAGGAGCACCTGCACCACCAACAACGACACCAGGTATGAAAACATGGAATTAGTCTGGCAGAAGTAATATTGCACTCCAGTATTATTATTATTATTATTATTATTATTATTATTATTATTATTAAGGACAAGAAAAGTTGTCTACTGTCGCCACTATAAATTTGTAGTAGCACGAACATATTTTCGTAATGCTTTAAAAGAGCGAACTTCCATGAAAGCTCTTTCTCTGGCCTGCTCAAGAGGCAATCAAGAGGCAAAAAAAATCATTTCTTGAAAATGTCAAAAGTCATAGTCCTTTAGTGGACAGTCCAGAAATATAATTATATACAACAAGGGCCGTTAAGACACGATAGTCCTCGGTGGCAGCAAATTTGCACGCAGTATAACTTATCCTTTTTATCTCTCTGTCTAAAAGAAAGGCCATTATGAAAACTGAATCAGGCCGGATTTTTCTTGTACGCTACAAGTTTTTACAAATCTGGTGCTGGTAGCGCGGAAACCAGCCTTTTTACACTACCTCCGAGGTAAACAGAACTATCAGGCGCTGTTTGTTTATCGTTCAGACCTCAGAGAAAATTACTTATAATTCTGCAGTTTTACAGAGCAATCCGCTTACAAGAAAAATTACACCCATTCAATATTCAGGACGATTAAAGTAGTTGGGCTTCCCTTCCACGACAAATTATAAAAATGGCAAGAACGTTTAACATTACAAGTATAGAGAGCTCCCCATTAAACGGGACTGTTCACTGGTGCTGACTTGGTAGTGACTAGTTACTTTGAAATTTTCAGACGCACTACTATAACACTTACTGTTTGAATATGATATGCCTGTATGTAAACTCTTTACAGGAACACCTGCACCACCAACAACGACATTACCTCCACCAACAACAACACCAGGTATGAAAACATGCAATTAGTCTCGCAGAAACAGTACTGTCGCCACTCTAAGTTTTTAGAAGCACGAACATATTTCTGTAATGCATTTGAAGAACGAGTTTCCATCAAAGCTCTTTCTCTGGTTTTGCTCAAGGGGGAATCAAGGGAATCATTTTAGTCCATCAGGCTATTTTAAAAAAATTCCGAATTAATCCCTTAATTATTGGAATTTATTGGCCTTGATTAAAGCGGCCTAATGCGACAACTCTCCACAAAGACAAAAAAAAAAAAAAAATGGGAAACCTGTATTTTACTCACCGAAACGGCTCCACCAGCTTTTGGGCTAGTAGACCAGATCGTTTAAATTTAGGGTAGGTTCGCACCTCTCTGATCCAAGAGAAGTATTTTTTGGTAGCTAATAGTACACTCCTTAAAAGCCATCACGTAGAAATTTGTATTTGATACGGAGAGTTTCCAAATAGTTCGGGACACTGAAAGGAGCCAAAAAAAAATCATTTCTTGAAAATGTCAAAAGTCGACATCCCTCACTCACTCACTCACTTGGTCGCCCGAAGGAGGGCAACCACTAGATCTTTCCACAGCCTCTTATCAGCCATCAGTACAGCAATCACACTTGCTTCGAATGCCTCAGTATCCCTCTTAAGAGTGTCAATATAGGTAGTATTCGGTCTTCCTCTCCCGCGATGACCATGTGTGGGCTCCCATAGGACTAACTTCTGGGTACTTAGCTCTGGATGGCGATAACAGTGTCCCGCAAGTTGTAGCCTACGAGAGGCGACTTTGTTGCTGACTGCTGGTAGATCTCCGTACATTTGCTGCTTTGGTATGTGGCTGCTCCAGTGGATGTTTAAAGCTTTTCGCAGCATCCTAGTGTATGTTCCATCCAACGACATCCCTACAATGTTAATAAATTTAGTTCGTTAGTTTTCGCTTTTGTTTTCATTTTTAAATTCTAGTCATTATAACAGCTTTTTAACTTATAATTTTCAGTGTTGTAGCTTTAAGTGATCCGAATAAACTTCCTTTTTCTTCTTCTTTAGCAATAGATCCATGCACAAACTATGGCATTCTCGACGGTTTTAACCGTAGCGTGGCAAATAAAGATCAAAAGAACTTGCGATGCGACCAGAGACACCTGAGCCCTTTACCAGCCTGGTATCGCTTCACTGGTGCAGCTGGAGACAGAATGCCAACATCCTGTGTACCAAAAAATCGTTGTGGTAGTCATGCTACAGGTTGGTTGAACGGTTCACACCCATCAGTGGAGGAAGGCATTGTCACTCGTGGAGTTTGTTATCACTGGAATTCCAACTGTTGCAACTGGAAAAACGATATTCAGATCCAAAACTGTGGCGCTTTCTATGTTTACCGGCTAGTTAAGACTCCTGCGTGTTGGTTGCGTTACTGCGGTAGTAATGAAGGTGAGCTGTTCGGTTTTTCCTCTGTAACTGAAATTTAATGATATCTTGATGGATAACTTGACATTGCAGATGTCTCCCTATTGTGAAGGGAGGATCAAATTGAGGAACATGGCGACGTGTTTGCAGCGCAAATGTTTTGTGAAGGGAGGATCTTAGGAGTTTTAGTCTGATTTGGTCAGCGAGATGTCGAAATAAGTATGTGTAATCAAATGGTGACGAGCGGAAATTAGGGATTAATTTCACGCGCGTTTTGCCTAAAGGCTCAGGAGATTATTAGTATTTGGACAAAACGCAAGTGAAATTATTTCCTAATTTCACGAGTATACCATTTGATTACCTATTAATATCATGAGTGACGAATTACGTTAGCAATCGTGAATTTCTGACCTGTTTATCCTGGATCGTATAGACGAGAACTCCACTCTCTCTTAAATTCGGCTCAAGTTCAGACAAAATACCTGTTAGAATCCTTCTTGATGTGCTCTTTCGTGTGTTGAGGTTTTCTGAAGCTTGTTTTTGTTCCCTGGCATCTTCATTCACGGCATTTTAAAACTTCGTCGCCATCTTGACACTGAGACATAGGGAAGGTTGCCATGTGAAATTACAAATTAACGCTGAGATTTCGCGCCAAAATTAAGGATTAATTCGTCGCCTATGACATTATGGTAATATCTATAAAAAAGCCCGGACAGAAAGCATTGCTGATTAACGTATTGCGAATTCAATGTTTTAACCGTGTTAACTTAAAAAGCAAAGAGTAAACGGTAAATCGATAAACGATGATCTTTGACGAAAAAAAAAGGACGTTGTAAACTTCAAAATTAGCAAAGACTTTAATAATTGAAACGTTCTATTTATAGTTATTTTTAAAGTTTTTGTATCACCACGGTGATATTTCTGAACGCTTGAAAAGGTTATATTATTTTTGCATACATTTTCTTTACAGGAACACCTGCACCACCAACAACGACACTACCTCCACCAACAACAACACCAGGTATTTAAGGTGCTCAGATAGAACTGTCCAGCACCGTTTTTTCACCCAGGGGGAAACGAAAGACAATGATGCCCATGCCTTTTGAACCGAATTACACGCCCTTCAGCAAATTCAAATGGTTGACTGCCAAACATGTCACGTTTGCAGCCAATTAAATAATAATTTATCGTCACTTTTTCCGCGTTTAGATGGAAACTTGTTAGTATTAACTGAAGGAACAAAGGCTTCTAAAACTTGCTTAATGTTATATCCATATATTTTCCGAGTTTGGTCTTTGGGCGATTCTTTGTTTACGATTTTCCCTCATTGACATATGCCTTTCATTCTCTGATCAAGCATTAATAAAAATAAACTCTCTGAATATCGGAAAAAGCATTTCATTTATCTGTGACAACTTGAGCCCGATATACCGAATAGTTTGGGAGAAACAACCTTAGAAGAATACTCGAAGCTTAACAAACAGTGAATGGGCATTCATTCTTTGCTTGCAAAGAGCTGAAAATTACACAAACTGTTCAAATTAACTAGCCAAGGAAACTAAGGGAGAGGGTTAATTACAGTCGTAAGGACATGCTGGAATGTCGCCGTGGAATTGTCCGTTTTCAACTTTCATATTTGACTTTTATTCGATAGCCCACTATACCACGACTTCTCTATTTTCTAAGGCCTGTTTACATGGAGGTGGGGGACCCCAGGTAACCCGCTTAGGTGGGGTAACCCGCCTGTCCATATAATCTCTCATTTTACTTACATCTCGTTTACATGATAGGTGGGGTGACCCGCCTAGGCGGGTAGCCCGGTCTGCCAGACCGGGTAACCCTCTCAGCCGGGGTCAAATTTTGCCATGTAAACGTTTCAAGGTGGGGTAACCCGCCTAGCCGGGGTCGGACTCGCAATATATCAAATTCGAGCAAAATTCGTTTTAGCGGTGGCTTTGCATCATTATTAAAGGTAGCAATAGAAAGCCACAGAACTGAAGGCTGCCGCAAGAGCAGCACGTGAGTGTAGGAGAGCATTAATCGCTAAAACACGAGGTTTGCCAGCATTTTTCTTGTTTGCGTGATTAGCGACCATTCAATAATCTTGAAAATGTGCACCCCGGGGTGGCGGGGTTGTAAGATTACGTGTATTTACGAGGGTTATTTTTTACCCCACCTAAGCGGGTTATCTCACCTACCTGGGGTCCCCCACTTCCATGTAAACAGGCCCTAAAAGTGTCCAAGAGTTCCTCATAATTTTTACTATGATTTTTTTTTTGTCGCCAGCTATAAAATGTCCAGCGCTAAATGTTAGTCGCCTCGTCCAAACATCACCGAAGAGCTGCGTGACGTCACCAATGGATATCAGCGCAATGTGCTCGTTTTCATGCCCACAGGGATACAAACTGGAAGGCCCGTCTTCTACACAATGCGGATTACGTGGCGTGTGGACCGAAGATGACACGGTTATATGTATCGGTGAGTTATGGGATCAGGGTACGGTTGCCTTGTTTGTTTGTTTGTTTGTTTGTTTAACAGTACTTGGTGCTTTGTTGAGTAATTTCAAGATAATTTCACAGCAATAAGACAACTAAAATGTCCACAAAACTGTTAGTTATAAGCGGCATCACTCCTTTATCATTTGATCGGCTTAAATTTACATCACACTGAAAATAATGAACGAAGAGCTACTGTAGATTGCAGACATGGTAATTTGAATTTTTATGATGAATTATGAGGATTATATATACTGGTCAAAAAAGCTGCTAAAAAATTCCATGACAGTACATAATCCCCTCAAGTATTCCATGGGAGGAATATGTTTTTCGTAAATTTAAATTTATTCCGTTCAGTTTTAGTCAGAAGTTCAGCAAGTTTTTCTTCAAATAGCCGTGAACGCCATTTTTGTTAGTTCAGTTTTGCCAAGCAGCCTCCTCTCTATGTCAATATACCATCGATCACCCTCGTTTCAAAGCACACGCATAGAGAAATGATCGTGATAGTGATAGTGAAAGTAATAGTGATCGTCATCATGATGGTGATGGTGATTTTGAACGTGATAGTTATAGTGATAGTGGTAATGATAATGTTCATTTGTAGTAAGTCAATTTTTTGGTCCAGACTTCCAAAATAAAATCTAATGAAATTGAATAATTCAATTTTCCAGACATTAACGAGTGTGAGGTGCTAAATGGAGGTTGCAGTCACAAGTGTGTAAACGCAGAGGGAGATTTCAAATGTGAATGTCCTGACCCCGAACTGAGCTTATCATGGGACAGAAGGACCTGTTATGGTAATTATGACTCTAGGTGTGACGTTTCATGCATTAAATCCTACTCTGAAATGTGTATCATTGGGCATCTTATTTAAATAAAAATGAAATGGATCATGTCTCTAACAATACGTTGTACTTACTTTTGAATTTCAGGTTTGAATTTTTAGCCTGTTTTGCATTTTGCCGTAACCCTTTTATGAAAAATAAATAAAAATAAATAAAAAAAAAAAAAGTATGGAGGAGCTTGGTCATGTACTTCAGGTATTCACGACTTGCCACTGAAAGAGCCACAAAAAGGTCTAAAATATTTCAAACTGTAGAACTTTAGAAAAGAAGCTACGATTTTCATAAAAACGATCGCCTGCTGATGAACTAAAAAAACGTCCACGAAACAAGCTAGAATATCAGTCGTCTTTATTTACGCAAATTTGTCGCAAGAGGACGTTTCGGTCAACAAGTGCATGCTATCATGGTTTTATTGAAATGAATAAATTGCCATGAAATGCAATGACCTTGAGCCCTCCATTTTTTTTCCTTTCTGTCGAAAATAACTTTTCTCTTTATCTCCATTCAAGTTCCAGGCGTTATGGTACAGTGCAAGAGTGAAAATATGACCATCTCAATACCGAAGTCCCTCCTTCTTGGTATGGACCGTAAGCATCTTCGACTCCTGGACACCAGTTGCAAAGCTACAGAGACGAGCACTCACTTCTCACTCACAACATCTCTGACTGGCTGTAACACAACAAGCAGGCACACGCCCACAGCTATCGTCTATTCCAACGCAGTTTTTGAAATTCCTGTGGCCGCTCAAGGTGTCGTGACCCGAGTTCGTGAAATCGAAATAAAATTCCAGTGTTTCTACTCTAAATACGGCGTGGTGTCCTCATTTGGTTGGAAGCCGAGTGATAAGAAGCTTGTTTTTAGCGACAAAATGAAAGGAAACTTTACGCTCTCTCTAGATATGTTTCCTGACAAGACATTCGAGAGTCCGTACTTGAGAAACGACTTTCCTGTGGCTGTGGTTCTGCGCAAGCTTCTCTTTTTTGAGGTGTCCGCCACAACGCATGACAAGCAACTGTCAATCAGAGCAGAGCGCTGTTATGCCACTCCCACCCAAGATCGCGATAATTCCTTAAAGTATGAGTTCATCAAAGAAGGGTTAGTGATTGTTGTGTTACTTTCCAGCGAAAAGAGACCTCGAAAAACGGCACTGATTAATGTCTCCTTAAACTGCGAATTTCACCCCTTCATTCACTATCACTTAATACTAAACAACTGCATTGTGAAAGTACAATGTAGAAATTTAATTTTGAAGTGCAGAAGCACATACCGTAAAATTCCGAAAATAAGCCCCGGGGCTTATATTTTTCAAAGGCCCTTTTTGATGGGCTTATCTACGGAGAGAAATTTGCGTTTCAAACTTGATTGGGCTAGCCTTGTAGTTGGAAGTAAATTTACCGTTTTTGCTTTGTTTTACTTTGTATTTGAGGTCAATTTTCCAAGTACAAGCCCTCGGCTTATATTTGGAGGGGCGATTTAACGGAGGGTTTTTTGCGTTACCGGTTTGGGGGGCTTATATTTGGAGGGGCTTATTTTCGGAATTTAATACGGTATTAGGGTAAAACTTCGTCAATCATTTGTTACATAATCACAGATCTTAAAAAGAGGATAAGATCACAGCTTTTCAAGACGACAAAAGATTCCTCTATGACTCAAGGCTGGTGACTATGCCTTTTTTGCTTCTGTATTTTTCGTTTTTGCAACAGCTGGATGCCAAAATCGAGAGTATAAAAGCCTTTTTTTTCTTCACACAACGTTTGGAAATATATGAGATTTCGACAACATCTCAAATCTGGCAGACATTTTTTCTACATCCTCGGCAATCAATAGACCATTTTACAGTTATGGGCTCAATATACTAGCCTTTTACTGGACGTGAGGCTGAGGTTGACCTTGTTTGGATTCAAACCTCTTTCCTTTTCTTATGGAAATTTTGCTTAAAAAATACTAGTTAGCATGATTAACATGATAAAGCGGAAGGGTTGTATCAAAACAAGGTCGACTCCAGCCTCGTTTGCATCCGTAACTGTAAAATGGACTATTCGGTTCTGATACAATGTAAAACCCAAAATTGTGACCAGTAGTTTGCACTGCAAACAATTGTGTGCAGAAATTCAAAAAATCCGAGGTTTAAGGTAATATTAAAAACGAAACCAATCACCTTGAGGTCGAGGGATGAATAATACCCGGCGCGGATCCACATCGGTTTCCGCCGTTTTACGAAAATCGGTCGGAGTTTTCATGGATAAATAATTTTTCATTAAGAAAAAAAAAATTCCAAGTTAAAATCTGGCCAATATCGTGACTGAATGACTCAGGAATCCAGGAGAGGTGACTTTAGGGAGTAAATCTCCAAAACATTTCCTGGGGGAGCCCGCCCCCGAACGCCGCTAGAAGCGTACGCATGCCACGCTTGTTTAGAGTAACGGTCAGTATTTATCCTAGAACCGTGCCTTAATACATTATTTCTAGCTATTCCCACAAGCCTTAGAGTTGAGTATGTATTACGACATATCGAAATCGGTTTATTCACTTAAAACCAGTATTTTCGATGTTGAGTAATTAGTACATTTAGTAATTAGTAATTAGCTTATAAGTTGAATGTAATAGAAATTATAGATTAACATTTTCGGATTCTTTCCTTATAGATGCCCGATTGACCCAACTGTACAGTATTATCCTCTGCCTTCAGTCAGTGTTCAGCGGTTTAGTTTGGAAGCCTTCAAGTTCATTGCGGATCATTTCTTTGTTTTTGTCCATTGTCACGTGATTGTCTGCAATGCTACAGATGCCGGTTCAAAATGCGCTAGAAGTTGTCCATCAGCTGGCCGGCTAAGACGTGATGTGAATCCCAGTGCAAATGACGTCTACTCCCTGGCCAAGGGTCCAATCCATCTGCAACGTAAAAGGAGTGAGGAAAGACAGAGCACTGGCCTCGAAAGGCTTGGTATGTTATTACGCCGGCTCTCCCGTATATATTAATATATTTTTTTAAACTCTTTTTATTCTGCGTGGGCCTTTAAGAAATGGAATGCAGCGTTCTTTGGTTGGTTTATGAAAGGGTACCATTTTTAATGAAAGTTGTATTTCGTGTTAAAATGGTAGACAAAAGAGGAAGGGGTTGAACCTTAGACCTCCCCAGATAAAAACTTTGAGTCCCTTCCCCCTCAGTCTCTTCCCCCTATCCCAATAGTCCATCCTGTATTTCTGTGAGCACTGGAGTCACCAGTCTAGGCTTGGGGGATAAAATATTAATAGTGATTGGAAGGAAATTGTCCTTCCATGCAACCCTCGTTATTATTTATTATGTCCTCAATGAAGCAGGGAGTAGGGAGGGTCTATTTTGGTCATAATCGACATTTATACTGATCAGCAGAACAAGTACACAAAGATTAAGAAACAAAAACAAACAATCAAAAACATTTGAATCACCCAGAAGGGGTACGAAAAAGCGCTTGGAATTGCATTGGATTAAAATCTCTGGACATCAAATGAAACACAATCAACTCGCACTTGAAATAGTTTCAGTTTCTCGATCTGGCCCCAGTTTTTTTTAAAAAGGTGGATAGCGCTATCCTCCGGACAATCTCTTTGCAGTGGATAAGGCAGTTGGTTGCCCTAGTAATACCCATCCATTGGATAGAGATTTATCAGATAGATAGCACTATCCACCTTTTCAACAACTGGAGTGCGATATTAAGTTAGAGAAAATTCAAAACGAACAGTAAAATGTAAAACTTTTATTTGCCTAGTTAGTTGTAATTTCAGACTTTCCCGGCCTCAACGTGTCTAAAACGAAATATCATTTTTTTAGGTTCCAGTCCTACAATCACGATGACCCTGTTGGTGATCTGTGTCGCCTGTTTAGCGGGAACTGCGCTGATGGCTTTCAAAAAGTTACGTGACAAACCTTTTGGTTATGCAGTGGTTGCGGCAGGGGAGAAGAATTAAAAAGCAAGTCTTGCTGCTATCAAAACCCAAAATTTGCTGAATTAATTTAAATAAGTGATTCTTTGGATGGTTTTAGTCCATAAAGAAAAATTTAAAGAAAATCGAAAATGCTAATTAAAAATGTTTTGGGCTGTATTGTTCATTGTGTATTATTATGAAATAAATTAAACTTTAACTTTATTATTGCCTGTTTCACTTTCTTTCTTTTCACTATGGGGAGAAAAAACCCTTATTATTCTATGACCTATATGTATTCGTAAATGCATGGTATCCCACTACAGTAGCGTGTGAACAGTCCAGTGACAGTCAGCGAGAGACAGCATATCGTTTACTAAATATTCGTTTTAATTATTACCTGTGTATGATCGCTTATTTGTTACGAAATCGAATCGGCGTAAGCCGTGTCGATTAAACGGACGCTGATGCCTCCTAAATATAATTTTTAAATTACCCAACCGACGGAAGTTGTTGATTCATCTGTTGCGTTCAGGGTGGCAAGGTGGTGGAACTAAATCATAGACTACTCTGTACCAGCTTCTCTTGGCCTTTTCCCTCGTTATGCATCATCGTTTCATAGCGGCGTTTGTTTATAAGGTTTGAATATGGTCACATACAGTTACTATAGGGGAATCGTTGCTGACGTTTTTTACTACATTTTTCCTCATTATAGTACGACTAATCTAATAGAAACCGTGGCCGTATAAACGAACTACATTCAAAAGATGAAAGAGTTGCATGATTAACTTGTCATGAGTAATTTGTGCAATTTTCAGCTCTTTGCAAGCAGTATATGCAAGCAGTATTAAAGGAAGTAGGCAAAAAAATCAATGAGCCACTTGACACATTCTTGGAAAAAAGTTTGACTGAAACCATCCGGTACACGAGGCTCTAATTTTCAGAGATCACTGAACTTGTTATGCTCCTTCCATATTCAGAGGTTTTGTTAATTTCATCAGATAATGATAAGCACACTGTTAAATATAATGAGGCACAGAATGTAAACAAAGATTCGCTATGGGAACGATTATACATCAATTCAAATGAACACTGAATTGATTATTTGAACATCCGAGATGACTAAAACTGATTTGAACCTTTTTTTTGTCATTTCTTTAAATTATTCTACGGAAGTAAAGTAGAAATTCTAAATTAATTTAATTTTTATACATAAATTCCTTTTAATATGATTAATATATCTTAATGTAATCAATCGAGTGATAGAGGACCAAATACTAATTACCCCTTCGGCAAATATTTAATTGAAACAGGAAAATTTTCGTTAAACTAATGATTCAGAGGTTCATTTATCAATTCAGCTGCGTCTTGACTACAAGGTGGTTTCAAATTGATTCTCGGGTTATTAAGACTGTTCTCCAAAGCGTAGGAAAATGATGCGATTTAAGAAGCTTTCCGTGAATTATATGTACCTGGGGATCGTTCTCCTAATGCTTGCTTCAATGACAGTTGAAGGTAATTATTTATTGCTGTTCACCTACGGTTGGTTTGCTTCCCCAGACCAACGTACAATTGTGTGTGAGAGGCCAATACAGTTTTCGTACCACAAATACCGTGAAGGTTACACTCCTGGTGGTTTTTAAAATCAGTTATGTCAAAGAAAGTGTGGAATATTAAAAAATTCATCGGTAATGGAATTTCTAATGATATAACGATATTCTTTCACTTTTTTTTACTTATATTTATTTAGTAGCCTTTCCGAAGAAACTCTTGAATTTCAAACCCAATTATTTTCATTTTAGCCGTATTCATTATACGTGAGTTAAATTTCAAAAAATATAACAATAACACTATAATAAAGCATTTGAAAACTTGAACCAAGAGGTGGGATTAAAACTCCTTTAAGAGATATTCGGCTTCCTGCGTGATCAACAGTAACAAATACTTGACAAATAATTTGGCCTTTCTCATGATCGAGGCCATACACTCTTAAAGGTGTTGAGCAAAAAAAGTCCAAAAGGCTGTACTAAATTACAAAGTAACGTCTCGTAAGAAAATCCAAACAACTTTAGATAAGAAAAATGCTCACATTCTGCCGCATGAATCTTAGTAGTATAAGAAGGACGCGAGCAGATCGGATATAGAATTTTAAAAGTACACGGGAAAATAGCGTGTTTAATGTGCTCCAAAGAACGCGCGTAAAGTGCAGAAAGGGAAAGCACTCTAGCAAAAAGTACTAGCTGTCGCTAATTCGCAAATGAAGAGCAAGGTAGTCCGTAGGATATATCACCTATTAACGGGACAGTTATGGTTTATTTGGTTTAATTGAAGATGGTCCAGTGGTTTTTGGGTGATTCTACAATAGGCCTTGTCATTTGAAGCCATTTCGGCCCAGATAAGACCATGTTCAGAGTAAATTTTTCAACCACATTCTTGATTGAAGGCACCGAAAATCCCTATCCAGTATATCCAAGTTTTACAGAGGACAGGAAACTCCAATACCTATGATCTATTTATCTCAATCATCTATACAACAAGTTGATTTATAAGGGTAAAGGTCCAAGAAATCTTCAGTATCACTAGTTATGTGAACTTCTAAGTTCTTGACGAAAGATGGGTCAACTTTTGCATCCTGACAAATAGAGAAAGAAACAAAAAGTCGCCTGACTATGGATGGATGAGACTCAATAGCGGAAAGTAGAATGAGGATATGATTGCAGGGAAAACCTTCCATTTATTGATTGATTAGTTATTATTATTGTAAGTTATTGTTATCATTATTATTACTATTGGTTGACTAAAATTAAAAAAGCGGCCATTAGTTGATTTATTTTAATGAATAAATGAGTTCCAACTTGCATGTCACAACACTGTAACTGCTTTGGTTCCAGTTCACTGAGATTCTTGGCGCGCAAACTGATGCAAAGCAATACAAAACGATATTTTGATTAATTCTTCCCTACAGAGCTTTTCCGAATCTTTTAGAATTTTACAAATTCTTCAAAATTTCTCAAAAATATTGTAATATTACACGAAAAGAAAAAAAATTAAGCTAAAAATCCAAATTTCAATGAAATCGAAAATTTAGAAAATACATTAAATCAATTATAATACAGTCACGTAATACATAAATGTTATTCACCGGCTGGGAGGTCCGTATTGGGAGAACCTGTGCACGAGGTCTTGAGTACCGCCCGAGGCCGTAAACGGACCGACCTAGGCCGGTGAATAACATTTTTATTTTTTCCTACTGAGATTTAAAAGTTTCAGGAAAATTTTACTTCAGCCTCCAACCTATGTGTGTTGAAGAAGGGCGCGTGCGTGTTGATGTTATTCAAAGCGTGCGATCGATTGCAAACCAAAACAAAACATTACAATATTATTTTTAACTTGTAATTTTTATTACCACAATTAAGCTCTCTTTAGAATAAAGAAAGTTTTTTGTGTCTTGGTAGACAATTCATAATCTGAGTGTCAAACAAGGATAAAGGAACTGACGAACTTAAAAGCCACAGGAAAGAAAATACAGCGAAAACTTTCTTCGGCTGAATATTTACTTTAAGATTAATTCAATCGAGCGGGATAAAAACTGCACATAGGCTTTCTAAAAAGAGCTAATTACACATACCAATCTTAGGGTTTAGAAGTGAGTTCCAATAAAAGAAGACGATGTGGGTAACTAAACAATTATACAAACAAAGAAATAAAAACGGCGACTGCTGGAAAAGTTGTTCGTGTTGTTTTATTCAAGATTGAACACTAAATGCAATCGTTGACAACAACTTTTTCTGAAAAGTAGAAATCTAGCGTGGCAAAATTCAATGAAAAACGGCAGAATCTAGATTCAGACAGCAAAAATGGAAAACAAAGCTACAAACAGAGGAAAAACGTCGAATAAACGGTGCATAAGAGCAAGATTGCAGTACTTACACAGGGGCACCCAACGAGAATATAGTTCCAAACCACATAAACATAGAATTGTTAAACGTATTTTCGTATTTAAACGGTAGATATAGGCATATTTTTATCCCCTAAAAATTTTTCATCTGTTCGGATTTCCTAGCTGAAAGTCAAGTGATCCGAAATTATAGGGATCAAAACTTACCTTTTCGAAAATTTTAGCCAGAAAAAAAGCTCCCGAAAATTCTAGGTGACCTTTTTAGGGTAAAATCTGTTAAAAGAGGCAATTATACCATTGTTTAGATGTCCGAAAATCCTTGGAGAGGCAGGCATGCAAGAAATTTTACAACAAATGTTCCGAAAATTCTAGATCTCAAATCGTCTTTCGAACAGACATTTTTCCGAAAATTGTCGTCGGGTGCCCCTGCTTACAGCGCGGTTATAAAGCCGGTGAAGCGACATTACGAGCCGCCCGTTTTGCTTTACTTTAACTGTTTTCCTGGCTGACTTGCTTGATTCTCCCTTCAGATGTTTTGTCTGAATAACAAAATTCACTTTTCCCTAGCTAACGCTAATAATAGCGCAAGGTTTAAAACAAAAAAGGCTAAAAATCACCGGTCCGGTTTTTCTCGTTCACAAACCACAAACAATCTTTGGAATGAAGCTGCCAACGATTCCGCTCGGGTTAGCGGGCAAGATCGTAAAAAACTGTCCGCTCTCGGAACCAACCAGATTGCAGGATTTGCAAGATTCCGCCCGCTCGCAAGCTTAGAAAAAAATAATTATAATTATAATAGGCCATTTGCGCGATGAAGTGTTTTACTACTGAGACCAGAATTATTTCGTCAGTGTTTTTTTTTTTTCCATATTTAAATTTGGTAATCCTAGTGAGGTTTAAATAACAAAAACCCAAAATTTGCAGAAGAAAACAACTGATAGTAGTAGTAAAATGGCGCCGTAGTGCAAATGGCCTATTTCTACATTAACTCAGCACTCGTTTGTTACAAATTCATTAGCACAGTCAAGAAGATATTATATCTCTTCTATGGCATTTGAAATTCAAAGCACAACAGAGGCCAACATGTCTTGGACAAAATTCTCACACTCGTTTGTAACAACAGAATTCTAGTCTTTGTTTTGCAAAG